GATCTAGTGTCTGGTGAGGGCCTTGCTTCTTTGTGTATGTGGCCGTCCTTTTGCTTTAAAACTTCACATGGCAGAAGTGGCCAAGGGATTCTTATTTTCTCTTTTTTTCTCCTGTTTAATGAGGACATTAATCATATTCATGGGTGCCCATGTTCTGAGATCATCACATATGAGTTGGGGTGGGGACAAAATCAGAATCTTGCAGCCACTTTCTGTAGGTGGTCTTTGGAAATCAGACAATAATACAGCTTACAGTCTGATCACTGTGCTTATTTTAGATTTGATGAGTTTGATGAAGCAATTGATGAAGCTATAGAAGATGATATCAAGGAGGCTGATGGAGGGGGTATGTCTACCATTTATTCTTTTTCACATAAGATTATTTCTCTCCCCAATGCTAAGACTGAATAAACTAGCTCATATTCAGAGTAATCTACTAACATATGCCAGAGTATTATGTCAGAACGTATTACTAATTTGTGTATGATCTAATGTAAAATTTTAAATTCCTTCATTGATCAAACCATTTATATCAGGTTCTAATTAGAACACTCAGCAAACTTTGCTATTGTCTTTACAACAAAGTCTGAAAATATGTGGATAAATCTGAATTTGAATGACAGTGTAAAACTGTTACAGATCAGGTTACTGATTTAATTGCCGTCTCTTTCTTTTCTTGGTTTTTGTTTTGTTTGAGACAAGGTCTCTCTCTATAGTCCTGGTTGTCCTGGAAGTCACTTGCTCTGTAGACCAGACTGGCCTTTAACTCAGAGATCCTCCTGCCTCTGCTTCCTGAGTGCTGGGATTAAAGGCCTGTACCACCATGGCCAGCCATAATTGCCTTTCAAAACAGCACTGTAGAGAAATTAGAAGTTACTAATTAGCCAGTTATTAATGCTCTGTACAACTTTCTGGTTTCTACTTGTTAATGTGAAAACTTCAGGATGGATCAATAAGCAAGTTTTTTGTTGTTGTTGTTGTTGTTTTGTAAAGAAATTGATGTCACTTCCTTTTTTGAATTAGGTCTTTTAGTTACATCTTTATCGATTTTTTTTTTTTTTTTCCAAGACAGGGTTTCTCTGTGTAGCTTTGGAGCCTATCCTGGCACTCTGCCTCCCGAGTGCTGGGATTAAAGGTGTGCGCCACCAACGCCCAGCTATGATTTTTTTTTTTTTTCTGTCCTTATTCAAGAAGAGTTTTGAGCAACTGCTAATAGGTATAAGGCTGATTTTTAGAGAGAGGAAAGTGATGCCAGTAAGACAACTTTGTGACCCATCAGAAATCTGAGTTACTTTCTTTAAAAGATAGGTCTTGGGCTGGAGAGATGTTTCAGAGATTAAGAGCACTGCTTTCTCTTCCAGAAGACCTGAGTTATATTAGTAGCAACCACATGGTGGCTCACAACTATCTGTAATGGATGCCCTCTTCTGGTATGCAGACATACATGCAGACAGAACACTATACATAATCAGTTTTTAAAAGGGGGGAGGGGATCTTGGTAGGCACTACTGGCACACACTTTTAATGCCAGGACTCAAGAGGTAGAGGCAGGCAGATCACTGTTTGAGTCCAGCCTGGTCTACAGAGTGAGTTTCAGGACAGCCATACAGATGCAGAGAAACCTATCTCAAAAAAAACCAATAAATGAATAAAATGAAAGATGGGTGTGGAGAGATGCCTGAGCAGTTTTGAGAACTTGCTGCTCTTCCAGAGGACTAGAATTTGGTTCCCAGTCTCCATTGTGGATAGTTTACAACTGCCTATACCTCTACTTAAAAGATATTTGATGCTTTGTGGCCCCAGACAGCACCCACACAAATGCTGCATTCACTTACAAAAGCGCGCGCGCATGCGTGCTCGCGTACACACACACACACGCACACGCACACGCACACGCCAGGCAGTGGTGGTGCATGTCTTTAATCCAGCACTTAGGAGGCAGAGGCAGGTGGATCTTAGTGAGTTCAAGGCCAGCCTGGTCTGCAAAATGAGTTCCAGGACAGCTAGGACTGTTAAAACCCTGCCTCAATGAATGAATGAATGACAGCATATGAATTTTATTAAAATCTTAAAAGCCATGAGATCTGAGTGCTGGCAAGATCCCTTAGTGCATAGAGGCACCATTTGCTCACAGTCCTAACAATCTGAGTTAGATATCTCTTGGACCTTACCAGGTGGCAGGAGAACTGATTCTTGAAAGTTGTCCCCTGAGCTCTATAAGTGTGTGTGCCTTGGAATGTATGAACACACATACAACATAAAAGAGGGAAGGGAGGGAGAGAGGGAAAGGAGGAAGGAATGAAGGAACAAAGGAGTATGTTGAGGGATTAAACAGATGACCCCAAGGTTAAAAGCACTTACTGTTCTTACAGAGGACCCAGGTTAAGTTCCCAGTACCTACTTCGTAGCTCACAACCACACTAACTCCAGTTTTAGTCAATTCAAATCCATTTTCTAACCTTAGGTGCCAGGTATGCATGTACTATACATACATAGATGTAGTCAAAAAATTTATGTACATACAATAAAGATTATTAAGTCATGATACAAATCTATAAATTAGGGGGATAAGAGAAGGATCACAAATTCAAGGCCAACCTGGGCTGCACAGAGAGATTTTTTTTTAATGGCCCTCTACCAAATAAAAGGCAATGAAATAAAGGGGGAGGGAGGCATCACTAAGTCATCAATCATACAAAATATACAACTAGGAGTTGTGAACTCATATTCAGTATGATATGCATGTTAATTCATTCTTTAGATCATTGTTAGTTGATGTTGTAAGCAATCTGCATATTTCTGAGAAAATTAAGCAAAGAAAGAGCTGCTGCTTTTACAAGTCTGGGGAAGGTTCAGTAAACATACAGTTATCTCTTCCTCTCAGGAGTTGGCCGAGGAAAAGATATCTCCACCATCACAGGTCACCGTGGGAAAGACATCTCTACTATTTTGGATGAAGAACGAAAGGAAAATAAAAGGCCTCAGAGGGCAGCTGCTGCGCGCAGGAAGAAACGCCGGCGACTTAATGATCTTGATAGTGATAGCAACCTAGATGAGGAAGAGAGTGAGGATGAATTCAAGATCAGTGACGGGTATGTGGCCTGCCTCAAGACCCATTCTTTTTTTTGTTGTTGTTTTTTTTTCCCGAGACAGGGTTTCTCTGTGGCTTTGGAGGCTGTCCTGGAACTAGCTCTTGTAGACCAGGCTGGTCTCAAACTCACAGAGATCTACCTGCTTCTGCCTCCCGAGTGCTGGGATTAAAGGCGTGTGCCACCACCACCCGGCAGGCAAGACCCATTCTTTAGGTGCCAGCTTACACAGAGCCAGGTTCTGAGAGAGCCTTGGTTGAACTATGTTATGGCTTTTATTCTTCGTGTACATGGACAATCTGTATTTTTCAGGACATTTAAAGCAGATCTGAGATTACTTGTTTTGATTCATTTTAGATTAAAATTAAAGCTATGTTTATGGTGGTTTAATATTTAATATTACATTTAAATTTGATTAACTGTAATTGAAATTTTATTTGTTGAAATCTTTCTCTATACTACCTTTTGCTACCCAATTCATCAGTGGAGTTTAATAAAGTCTGGTAAATTGTAAAGGAGTAAGTAATTACTGTCTTCTGGTGCACTGTAGAGGTTTGGTAAGGGGTAACTAATCCAGTATTAGGTTAGGACGGCTTCTATGCAAAACAAGTATAAACTACTGCAAGAGTTTCTCCTTTTGGCTCAGTAGTACATGTAGTAGGAAGTCTATAAAACACAGAAAAGTTACTCAGCACTGCCTGCCTCTGTAATTTAGGTAAAATAAAGTTAGGGTATATAGGGTATAGCCTTAGATGTGTCCATCTAAGGTAGTCAAGGAAACCTCACAGTAAGAAGTAATGTTAGCATCAACATGTACGGAATAAGTATTTTGAACAGCTGTATGAGTTTAGAGGCAGGGTAAGAAAAGAAAGCAACCTGAACAAAGACGCCAATGTTCAAATGTCAAGGAATAGTTAGAAAATTCCCTGAAAAGCAAGAATATGGAAATGATGGAGCTGGAGAAATGGCTCAGAGGTTAAGAGCACAACTGTTCTTCCAGAGGTTCTTGAGTTCCTTTCCCAGAAACCACATGGTGATTCACAACCATCTGTAATGAGATCTGGTGCCCTCTTCTGTTGTGCAAGCATACACACAGGCAGAATACTGCATACAAAATAAATAAATCTTTAAAAAAAAAAAAGAAACAGAGAAGTAGAGTATGGGGATGAAATAGAGAATGCTCTGGTAGAGCTGCAACCAGAACAAAAGAAACAGAGAAGTTGAGTATGGGGATGAAATAGAGAATGCTCTGGTAGAGCTGCAACCAGAACATAAAAAAGAACAATTATGGAGTGGGTTTTTTGTTTTGGTTTGGTTTTTCAAGACAAGGTTTCTCAGTGGCTTTTTAGAGGCTGTCCTGGAACTAGCTCTTGCAGACTACTCGAACTCACAGAGATCTGCTTGCCTCTGCCTCCCGAGTGCTAGGATTAAAGGTGTGCACCACCAATGCCTGGCTGGGGTGGGTCTTTTCTATTTTTCTTCTTTTATCATGCATACAAATTTGAACTTGTCCTGAAAATGTTTTTAATAAAAATACCCAAAGGGTTATGGTGTGAGGTTAAAAGAGGAGTCAGGATACATACCATATGTCTCTGGATTGGGTTATTGATGGGTGAATGATTCTCAATACCAGATAGCAACTACAGGTGTTTGCCACCAAAGTCTGGCAACCTTATTTCAATCTTTTGAAACCTTGTACAGGTGGAAGGATAAAACCTACTCTACAATGTTGGCTGATATCCACATGCAAGTACAAGTACCCCATTCCTCCCCATAAGAAGAAGACAGGTTTTTTGTATTCAAAAATTTAAATATCAGGCTGGTAGATAGAAGAGGAGAAATAATGAGCATTTTGGGGTATGTTGGATTTAAGATGCATCCCAAAGAGGACAGTGACAGAAGTTGTCTATGAAATTTAGAATCACGTTTTTATTTTTAAATAAGGTATTATTGACAACAGAGAACAGTAGCATCTTTTTAAAAAACATTTTTTAGATTTATTTATTTATGTATTTATTTATTATGTATACAGCATCTGTCTGTATGCCTGCAGGCCAGAAGAGGGTGCCAGATCTCATTACAGATGATTGTGAGCCACCATGTGGTTGCTGGGAATTGAACTCAGGACCTCTGGAAGAACATCCAATGCCCTTAACTTCCGAGCCATCTCTCCAGCCCCTCAGCATCAGTTTATCTTTGTGGCTTTTACAAAGAGGATAGGTGATAGGATATTCGTTTTATAGACAGAAGTTGACATAATTTTCTAAATGTGTCTTTAAATATTACTTAACATTTCACTGGAATATTACTTAACAGTTTGTGTTTGGAACTATGAAAAACTGATTATCACTTCCAACTGTACCATTACAAAACAAACAGAGCACCATCATGACATATGTGGCTTTTCCTGCACAGATCTCAGGATGAGTTTGTTGTGTCTGATGAAAACCCAGATGAAAGTGAAGAAGATCCACCATCTAATGAGGACAGTGACACGGACTTCTGCAGCCGAAGACTGAGGAGGCATCCTTCTAGGCCAATGAGACAAAGCAGGCGTTTGCGGAGAAAGACTCCAAAGAAAAAGTATTCTGATGATGATGAAGAGGAAGAAGAATCTGAGGAGAATAGTAGAGACTCTGGTAAAAATGCCTTCTGTCTGTATCAGAGCAACTCAGTTGCTTCCTGTGGCTTCTGGAATTCCAAGGTGTCAGAATTATATTCAGCTGTGACTTAGGCATCCTGATGAGACTCTAGAGTCATTTTCTTATGATTTACTAGTCACTTTTTTCATACAGAGCACATCTGAGAAAATTCATATAAATTAATGTGTTACCTTCATGCCAACTCTTTGAGAATGTTAAATTATGATATTGAGAATGTTAAATATGATAAATCGTTCCGGTTCCAAGTATTTCTGAGAATATTTTGAGATGTTGCAGCGTGAATACCAGAACCAATTAACCCACCAGGGCTTCTTAAACTTTCCACTCACAACCTTTTATTCCTGAGAAGCTTTTACACAACTTCCAGTACTTAAGTATATGAAGTAGGTAATACAAGTCAAACATTGAATCAATCATAAAATTATTAAAATATTTCTCTCTCTCTCTCTCTCTCTCTCTCTCTCTCTCTCTCTCTCTCTCTCTCTCTCGTTTGTTTTTTTGAGACAGGGTTTCTCTATGTAGCTTTGGAGCCTATCCTGGCTCTCCCTCTGTAGACTAGGCTGGTCTTGAACTCAGAGATCCACCTGTCTCTGCCTTCTGAGTGCTGGGATTAAAGGCATGCACCACCAATGTCCAGCTCTTTTTCTTTTTTTAATTTATTTTTTTCTGTGCATTGCTGTTATGTTCGTGAAAGGGTGTCAGATCCCCTAGGACTGGAGTTACAGACACTTGTGAGATGCCATGTGGGTACTGGGAATTGAACCTGGGTCCTCTGGAAGAACAGTTAGTGCTCTTAATCACTGAGTCATTTCTCCAGCCCCTAAATAAATGTATTAAATGTATTTTTAAGCCAGTTGGTGGTGGTGCATGCCTTTAATCCCAGCACAAGGGGCGAGGTTGGGGGGGGCATGCATCGACAGGCAGATCTCTCAGTTCGAGGCCAGCCTTGTCTACAGAGCCTGGTCTATGTAGTGATTTCCAGGCCAGCCAGGGATACATAGTAAGACCCTGTTGTTTTGCAATTAAAAAAACTTTTTTTTTTTTTTTGACCAGAAAGATTGTTCAGTGAATATAGATACATATTCACAACCTTGTGTTTGATCTCCAAGACCCTTATGGTAAAGGAGAGAGCCAGTTCCTGTAAGCTCTCCATGTTCACCATGGCACTTACAGGAGTTGCCTAGGTCCTCTGGAAGAGCAGCCAGTGCTGCTCATCTCTCCAGCCCCCAAATAAATGGAAAAAAGTTTAACTTAAATAAAACAATTACTTTGGAAACATAATTTTGTGTACTTTTGATAACAGATGTACTTATATTTTCTTTATAAAACTCAATTGAGAAATTCAAACTATTTTTAAAAATCAAAACATTATAACAATGAAATCCATGCACTGAGGAATGATAATAAATCTTAAAAACCATATTTGCTGTAATTAAACCATTATTATTTTAGAATCTACTTTTATTGAGAATTTCATAATACATAAAATGTACTTCAGTTATATTCATTCAGTCTTTCACTGCTCCCCAATTCCTCCCAGATCCATCCTCTCCCCCTTCCAACCATATGGTATGTCTTTTTGTATTATTTTTTTAAGTCTACCAAATCCAATCTGTGTTGCTCATCCATTGGAACATGCCTATCTGGGACCACACCCTTACCAAAAAACTGACTTTCTCTCCCCTAGAAGCAATCAGTACCTCCTCAGCTCCTCAGTTCATGAGCCCCTTCCTCCTGCATGCTCGATGTGTCCCGACTTGATCTTGTGCAGAGATCCACAGCTCTGTGAGTTCACAAGCACAACTATCCTTTCTTGTCCAGAAGACAGTTTTTCTCTGGTCTTTCCTAGCCTCTGGCTCCTACAGTCTTTCCACCCCCTTTTCTGTGATGGTGCCTGAGCCTTGGGGGAATTGTGTGTGATAATAGATGTCCTGTTTGGCTAGGCACTCCACACTTATTCTCTGCACTTTGACCAACTGGTTGTTCTCAGTTGAATGTAGTATGGAGTTATAACAGCATTCCCCCTTCTTTTAGCATTGCTTGGGATCAAGTGCCAAGCATGCACTCTACCTTTGAGCTGTACATCCAACCATCTTCTCCTCGCCCTTTATCTACTCTCCCTTCTTCTGTCCTATTTTCTTTCATATATGCATATATATATATATATATATATATATTTATCTTGGAAGTTCACTAATAATAGTGTACATTTAATAGGCTGGGCTATTCAGTTGATGCTTGCCTACCATGCTTGAAGTACCACTGTATATGGTGGTGGACCCCTGTAGTGTCAGTATTCAGAAAATGGTGGTAAGAGGAACAGAGGTTCAAGGTCAGCCTGGAATAAGGACCTAGTCTCAAAAAAAACCACAAGTGTACATTTGTTATATTTTGCAAGCTGATTTTTACTTTAAAAGAAATTAAGATTTATAAAACTTATTCAACTAAAGTGCTTAAAACTAGACTCTATTAATTTTATATTTTTATAGCCTAAAGCTTGTTAAAATACCAATGGATTTAAATTTTGTTCTTCCTAACCCCTCCCCCTTTTGTTTTTCTAAACAGAAAGCGACTTTAGTGATGACTTTAGTGATGATTTTGTAGAAACCCGGCGAAGGCGATCAAGAAGGAACCAGAAAAGACAAATTAACTACAAAGAAGATTCAGAAAGTGATGGTTCCCAGAAGAGTATACGACGTGGTAAAGAAATCAGGCGAGTTCACAAGCGCAGACTCTCCAGCTCAGAGAGTGAAGGTAAATGTATCTCCTGTATGTAGGAGGAGGGCAGGCAGAACTCACATGAAAAGAAAGTTCATGCTCTGGTTTATGTGCTTGATCTTTCTCTTATTTATTTGTTTGTTTGTTTGTTTGTTTTGTTTGTCTGTCTGTCAGTCTGTTTATATTTATTTATTTTTTGAGACAGCATTCTCTGTGTAGCCCTGGCTGTCCTGGAATTTGCTCTGTAGACCAGGCTGGCCCTGAACTCACAGAGATCCACTGCCTGACTGATTTTTATTTTAATTGATATAATCGATAGTGTCACTGGGATGAATCTTAGTACTTTTCTCCTATTTATTAATTACAATTTAAATAAACCACTCTTGAGAGGATGCTAATTTAAGTCCCCCTTATTTATTCCTGTATTTTATGTATGTGAATGCTGTATTTTCATGTATGCCTACATGACAGAAGAGGGCATCAGATCCCACTATAGATGTTTGGTTGTGAACTGCCATATGGTGGCTAGGAATTGAACTTGGGACCTCTGGAAGAACAGCGGTGCTCTTAATTGCTGAGCCATCTCTCCAGCCCCCAGATGCTAATTTTTTAAATTTATTTTTATTTTATGTGCATTGGTGCATTATGTGCATTTTGCTGCATGCATGTCTCTGAGAGGGTGTCAGATCTTGGAGTTACAGACAGTTGTGAGCTGCCATATAGGTGTAAAAGAAAAGTCAGTGGTCAGTGCTCTTAACTGCTGAGCCATCTCTCCAGCCCCTAGGTGCTAATTTTTAAGGGTTCTGTTGTAGTAAGTTCTTCTGGCATGTTTTGTGGTTTATTCTGCTGCTTTTTGTTGGTGTTCTATTTTGAAATAACCTGTCATGCACTGAGTAGCTGAGCACTTTCAAATAGTATCTGTTCTCCTTCCCAACTTTTTTTTGTTGTTAAATTTATTTTATTGATTTTTCTTTTCCTTTTTTGTTTATTTTTTTATTTTTATTTTTTTAATTTTTGGGTTTTTGGTGACACGGTTTCTCTGTATAGCAGCCCTAGCTGTCCTGGAACTAGGTTTGTAGACCAAGCTGGCCTCAAACTCAGAGATCCGCCTGCCTCAGCCTCCTAAGTGCTGGGATTAAAGGTGTGGGCCACCACCGCCTGGCTCTTTCCCTTCTTTCACTACGAATTTCAGTTGGTGTCTGTTTTATGTAATAGCTTGAGCTATACTATATCAGAAAAGTTATAAAATATTTGTTTGTGGGGGCTGGAAGGGTGTAATACCCACATTAGGCAGCTCACAGCCCTCTCTAACTCCAGCTTTGGAGAATCTGATGTCTTCTGATGCCTGTGAACACCAGCACACAGGGCACACACACACACACAGGGCAACAGGGCACACACACACACACACACACACACACACACACACACACACACACTCTCACTCACAAATAAGATAATAGGATCCAGGCCTCTTTCTAAGTTCATTTTAAATGACCTTGATGTTTTTGGTTTTTCAAGACCGGTTTCTCTGTGTAACCTGGCTGTCCTTAAACTCACTCTGCAGACCAGGCTGGTCTCAAACTTCAGATACCTTGACTCTTATCTCCCACCTTTTAAGGCATTTAATCTATAATTATTTGTGATCTGCTTTGAATATATTACTTTCACAAATTAATCATGAAATAGAATTTGAGAGTATGAGAGCAGGAAAACAGTATGTGAATGGATATAGGAGTCTTAAAGGAGGTGACTTAGTCTTGAATATCTTCACGTCATAAAGAAAAAATTAAATTCATTAATCCAGCCATTAAAAATGAATATTTTTTGAACTAGACACTGGTGTAAGTACTAGGAATTGGACAGAACAAAGTAGCCCTCATGTAACACTTGAGGTAGATGCAAAGATTGTAAAATAAATATTAGAATATAAGATGTTAGATAAAGGGTTTGGACACATGGAATTTCACATTTCCTCAGTGAGAAAGACAATATTTAGGGGGCAAAGTTAGGACTTAGTGGTGGAATGCTTGTCCAGCATGCATGAGGCTCTAGGACCAAACATAGACACTGACACACACACACACACACACACACACACACACACACACACACTCTCTGAATGTTGGGTAGGAGTTACATACTTATCTAAAGGAAGAGTGATACTGACAGAACAACAAACCCAAAGCCAGCATATTCAGGAAACAGGAAGTTCAGGGTTGTTAGTACTGAATGTGTCAGAGAAGCCAGCAAGCTATCGTGCACATGGTTGCATAAATAAACTTTTTTTTTTTTTTTTTTGCAGATCAGGTTTTATTAGAAGATGGTCATATCTGTTATTTACATGTTGTCTATAATTGCCTTATAAAAAATTTTAGGAGTTTTCGTAGAACATGGAGGTCTCACCTGAAGCCTCACCCC